TTGTTATTTAAAATATTTAGTTATTTAAATACTTAAATAATATGTAAAATATTTAAATTTTAAAATATTAATTATTTATTGAATTTAATTATCCATAAAATCATAATTTATACTATTATTACATAATTTCATTAATAATTTTGTAATATATTAAATTACAATATTATGTTATTATTATTTTTCTACTTTGAATAATTTTTTTTAATTTATTACATAATTCTGTTATTTTAACTATTTAAAATATAGTTATGATAAATATTTAAATAGTCTATAAAATATTAAATTTTTTTTGTTATTTGAATTTTATTTATTTAAAGCTATTACATATTATTAAATAGTTGAAAAACATTTAAATTGATAATCTGGAAAAACATAATTTAAATTGTTAGTATATAATTTCGTGATATATTTTGTGAAAATAAAAAAATATTTTTTGTCTTTTTAATAAATGTTTTAAAGTTATTATATAATTTTGTTAGAATATTTAAATAATTCTTAAATTTTTAATCCAAACTTTCTTTAGATAGATATAAATAAAAAGTAGGGGAGAGGATAAATAGGTATTTGAGATAATTTAGAAGATAAATAGGAATTATAGATAATACTGGAGAAAGTGAGGGATAGTGGGGGAGATAATTTAGGAGAAATTTCAGGAGAAGAGATTATTTAGGTTCTGTGCATCTCATTGGTTGTTTCAAAAATGACATGGAATAAAAAAATAAAAAAATCAAAAAAAGGAGAAAATTTCTTGACCCCTTTGTATCTCTCTCTCTCTCTCTCTCTCTCTCTCTCTCTCTCTCTCTCTATATATATATATATATATATATATATATATATGTTTATGTGTGTGTGTGTATATTCTCATCTTCTCAATTTTGGAGAAAAACTGAGAACATGAGAAGAGAAACATTCAAACCAAAACCAAAAGTGGCTAACTAGCTACCCTCATACGATCCTCTCAACCCTCGACGCTTGACCCTCATACGATGATACGACCCATCTCAACCCTCAACCCAACCCCATGCTGACCCTTTTTCCTCACCTTAATGGTAATTTGACCCATAATAAGCCGTCACTAGAATGAATGGATATGGATGGGTTTCAAAAAAGGTGGGTTGGATGTGAGTGAGTCAAATGGGCTGGGGTCAAAATTGCAAGCCCCAATAATACCCATGGATTGAAATTGTTTCAAATTCCAAAATTTGAACCAGGTGATCTTTGGGAAGGGTATTAACCATTGAATATGCTCACTACAACGAGTCCGGATCTCCTGCCCACGAGAACTCTGCCCACGTTTACCGGAGCCACACATGGAGAACATCTCATCCTCTACATAGTATTATGCAGGGGGAGATGTTCCCAATTCACGGGGGGTAGTGTATTGTGGGTAGGCATAGGCAGAGTTCTTGTGGGCAGGTGATCCGGACTCCTACTACAACTATTAAAACCCAACAACTGCCATTATTTCTTAGTCTGTGTTTGTTTTTGTGGATGTTTATGGATAAGGATTAGGACATTTATTTGTACTTTTTTACTTTAAACGTTAATTTATACTTTTTCACTTTAAACATTTCCTGTTTTTGTTGTTTGGTTGAATTTCATTATAAACGTTTTTTACTTTCCATCTCAAATTAATACCTATTAAAGTGTGCCACATTAGCATTTGGTTTCAAGAAACGCTGAGATATTGGGAGAAACAGGAATTTAACGTTTCTCCAAATGTTTATGCACAAAAATTCATTTCAGTTTTCTACCATTTATTTGATAAACGATGAAACTAAACAATTGTTTCCTTTTGCTTAATATGCAATAAATGTGAACCTAATGTGGTAGTATTTTTTCAATAAAGGCCAACGGAGTCAAACATCCCTTTAATAGTTGATGTATTGGTGGGTTTAAAATCGATATACATCGTACAACATGCATCAGTGCGTTTTCACCTTGATTCTAATTATTGCCACTTTGAACCATGATTTTATTGATGGATAACCACTTTAAACCATGATCGAAATCCTCTTAAATTCCTCTTACCCAACAGTTAATGTACCACCATAGATGATGATGAAAGCACATGCAGTACGCAGCAAGTGAGATGTGTGTGGCAAAAGGATGACTTCACTGAATCTGGTTAGTAGGAGCCTCAGCTTATGGGCACAAAAAAGAATGTTCTCTGAGATAGATGTATCTTTTTATCACTTTTCAGAAGTTGTCATTCTCAGATCATTCAACATCCCAAACAGCCAACAAAAGATAATCTTTTCTGGTCTTTATATTTAGGGGTGTTCATCAAAAATCAAAAAATAAAAAATCTAACCGAAAATTTTGATTAATCGAATTGATTGGTATTTTATATTTTTCATATATTATATTGTATATAAATATATATTTATAATATATAATGTATTATTTATAATATAGTGTATTACATATATTTCATATTATATGATTATATATTTATTGATAATATATATATTATAAATTCAAAAAAGACAAAAAACAAAAAACCCAACCGGTCAACCAGTTACCGAGTGGCTTTTATTTCAATTTCGATTTGCAGTTTTCCAAAAACTGAAAGACTGGTTTGATTTGAAAAACAAAGCCCACAATTTGGTAAGACGAACCATGAGCACCCCCTATCCATATTTTTCCTTCAACTAAAAGGCCAACCAACGAAGTGAGTCATACGTAGACCTCACCAGTGGGAGCATATAGGTTGCTTTTTCCTTCTCAAGCAAGTCACATAAAGTATAAAAAAACGACATTTGAAGAGTGTAAGTCAGGAATGTCGAATAAGCTGTTCAACATTAAATTTCAAGCTGTTGGGTGAAGTGGAGAATTGGAATCTGTGTGAGGTGCTTGACAATGACCTCACAGGCACATCCCACCGTGCATTGGGAACATTTCCCGTAAATAATAACACATAAATAGGGGAGATGTTCCCAATGCTGGTGTGAGGAGCAGATCTAGTCTCTCCTTGATTAAATTTCCATTCTCTAACATGCCTCTTCATGCGAAATCCTATGGGGCTTGAATAATGAACAAACATAGGCCCACCCGTACCTTGTTCTGAAGTTTATAATGGAGGTGACGGTGATTGAATACTAGACCACTTCGTCAAAAAAGTGTCTAAAATGGTCAGAATTCATTTCCTCAATAGGTTTTTATTCTGTAACAGATTTTACAGTGTTTTATTCTGTTGCCAGAAGAGATCTCCTTTAGACAGCAATAAAATGGTCAGAGAATTCACAACACGTTCTGTTAGAACGTTGTTTACCAGTTCTTTGTGTTCCCAATCTCTGTTTCTGCCAATAAATCTGTCAAGAGAAGCTTGCTAAAATGAGATCACCAGAAAAGAAAATCATAATGAGAAATAAAAGAAGGGGAAAAAAGAAAAGTGATAACCCAAGATGGTATCTTCTTAGAGAAGTAGTTCAGAATTGTCAGAAGCTTTGGCTAAAATTCATAGGTTCGGCTCACAGGTGATCCTGTTTTTGCAACTCTTCTCTTGCCAAGTAATGTCAGAAGAAGTGGCTGGTTATCACCAGAGTTCAGAGTTGATGCCTTCGGAAAGAAAAAGAAAACCAGAAAGATACTTCTGAGATTTCTTTTTGGAGAAAAAGTACACAATCGTTCTGTTTAGAAGTGAATGCTTGTTTTGAAATTGTTAAATAATCAACAATAAGAGATTCTTATGGAAGCTATGCAAGCTGAAGTCGTTTGTGCTCTCATAGTCTTCATGCTTCAACTTGAAATCCTGTAAAATTAAGATCCCAGCCAACTTAAAATAAGGTTAAACCTCCAGTTCCAGAGGCTAGAGCAATAAAAACCCTGCAGAAACCCTCTATATACAAAACCACGGGAAAAATGGATTGAACAAACACAGAGAACTGGCTTCTAAGCTGGTTGTTCTGAGTTAATGTATCCATCCTCTTTGATCTCCAATTCTAGATTTCTTAATATATTATAAATCTCCTCTGACTTGGGATGAGATCTATCTGCAACACGAAACTCATGCACATTTCCATTTATCTCTAGCCAGCTACTACCGGGGGTCTTTTTCAAACCTTTATCTCTGAGGATGCATCTCATCCTAGCAACACCATCCCATTTTCCTGCTGCAGCATATATGTTGGACAGTAAAATGTAGTTCCCAGCATTTTTAGGCTCCATGGAGATAAGCTTCTCAGCAGCAAACTCTGCAAGCCTAGTCTCAGAGTGCATTTTGCAAGCACTCAACAATGGTCCCCATACTCGTGCATCTGGTTCAATTGGCATTGTTCTTATAAGATCTACAGCTTCATTTATATGTCCTGCACGCCCTAAAAGATCTACCATACATGCATAGTGTTCTTGATTTGGTTGGCAACCATATATCTTTGTCATCTCCTGGAAACATTCCCAGCCCTCTTTCACATAGCCTGAATTAACACAAGCTGTCAACAGCCCAAGAAAGGTTACTCTATCTGGTTTCAGCTTCAAACCTTTCATCTGGTTGTACAGTTCTAAGCATTGGGACCAATTCCCATGCTTGGAATATGCACTGATCATAGAATTCCATGATACTATATCCTTACAGTCAATTTCCCCTTCATCAAAGAGCTTTTGTGCTATCTCTATACACCCACATTTTGCATAGCTGATGAGAAATGCTGTAGCAACAGAGATTATAATGTTTAGACCTCTTTTGATAGAGTACCCATGAAAGTATTTAAGTGTTTCTAATGCTCCTATATTCACACAAGCAGGCACGATGTTAATTAATGTAATTGCATCAGGACTCACTCCTTCCATCTTCATTTTGGTGAAGAGGAATAATGCATCATGTGATAGATCATGGCTCACATATCCCTTTATCATGGAACTCCATGAAACAACAGTCTTATTCGCCACTGCATCAAAGATCTTGCAAGCTGCTTCCAAGTTGCCACATTTGCTATACATCTCAATCAATGAATTATGAACAGATATTTGGTAATCTGAACCATTTCTAATCACGTTGGCATGAATCTGTTTACCATGGCAGAGAGATTTCAACTCAGCAACTGAAGGAACAACAGCAATGGCGGTGAATAGATCAGCCCTCACACCTGATCTTCCCATCTCAATTAAAAGCTTGAGTGCTTCTTGTGGATATCCATTTCGGGAATACGCTGAGATCATCAAGTTCCATACAACAGAATCCTTCTCAGGCATTCTGTCAAATAATGATCTCGCAGTTTCTAGATTGCCCAATTTACAATACATGGTCAGTAGTGCAGTGTTCACAGATAAATCCTCCCCTAGATTACTCAAGGCAATCAAAAGGTGAACCTGTCTACCCGTTTCCAACGAGTTCAAATCAACACATGATCTCAACAGGTTAACTAGCGTAGCCGAATCGAATTCCACTCCTTGCAATCTCATTTTCTTAAAAATCCGAAAACTCTCATGGGGACAGCCATTTTGATAAGACCCAGCAATGAATGAGTTCCAGTAAGCCAAATTCTTGATGGGCATTCTACCAATCACTTCTGCATCCTCAATTTCACCAAAATTCTCGTACATATCAATCAGAGCGGCATGAACCGTAGCATCGGAATCAAAACCCAGTTTAACCACATGACAGTGGATTTTCTTTCCATTTTCAACATCAAAGACACATGAACAAGTCTTAAGAACAAATGGGTAAGTGAACTCATCTGGGTACATGGATTTCATAACCATTTCTTGGTAGAGCAGAAGGGTTTTCTCGCATTTCCCGAAGCTGGAAAGATTTCTGAGAATTGTATTATAGAGAAGTGCATTTGGGTCGTTTACAAAGCTAAAGACTAGTTCGGACAAGTCTAGGCGTCCGAGATTAGCATAGCTGTCGATGAGTTTGGCCGAGAGTGTCGAGTTTTGGTGTAGGCCGTAATGGATAAACCTGGCATGAATTTGTTGAAGGAACTCCGTTTTGTTGCAGTTATCTAAAAGAGAAGACAAGGAACTGAGTTGGGCTCGGGAAGCCCCAAGATGACTGAACTTGGATGGGAAGTGACTGAAGAGATTTCTTGACTGTGGAGAGCGTAGTAGCATGTTACCACCCACAGCACATTTACTCAGATGCCAAGCACCTTCAATCGTTTTCATTGAACTGGATGGTGGTATGTGTTTTTATGTAATATTTGAGGAGCTTGTCTTGCAACGCGCTACAGACACGCTGGAGCACGTTAAACCTTAAAAGAGAAATTCTAACGAGTTTCGTGGTGTCTGTAGCACGGTTGCCATGGCTGGGCTGCCTGGTAGCATTGCATGTTAATAAAATATAAAATTTGCTTCAAGTCGCTTTCAGAATTCAATATGTTCTAGAGGCTGAAAGGGAGAAACAGAATAAAATTATGCCAAAGTTAGAGCTCTCTTGGTAGGAGATCTGGTCTGATTCCCCAACATTTTCAGAATAAAATCATGTATGGGCAGCCATTATTCAACTGATTCTAACATTTTCATGTCTAACGTTTCTCTGCCTTCTACGGTCACAAAGCTCAAATATCATCCAGAGAATTATGGGGTTTTCTTTTACTTTTGTTATCAAGTGTCTCCTGGAAACTACTGTAGACTCCATAAATCATAAATCAATTTCAGGCATTCTCACACTAGCAGGTATGCACTTTCTACAAAATTTCATACCTTAAAATGCAAAGATACCTGTTTAGGATCTCCAGAAAAGAAAAAGAAAAAAGGAAAAAAAAAAAGAAAAGCATGGTTTAGAAGTTTTTCTTGTTTCATAAGGAAGAAAAATTAAAAGAGAATGCTCATAGAGGTGTGCTTCTATGCCTAGGCTGGTGAAACACTTTAAACATCAGCCAATTCTTTAATCAACATTAAGAGATTACAGTGTCGGACTTTTGGAACCGAAAATTATCCCAGATATTGGGAACTGAAAAGGAATTAATATTGATAGGAAAAACATTCTTCAGCCTCTTTTCTTTGGTATTGGAAGCTAGTTAACATTCTAGGTAGGGAAATATAAAGCATTCAGCTATTATCAATTACCCAGTTTGATGTAAACTCCAAGCCTTATATTTCTATAATGCAAAATAGAAATCTATACAAAATAAATCTAAGAACTGCTTAATTACAAGAATTTATAGGTCAAGCCTTCAAGGCACTGTGTAAAAATAAGTTTACTCCACCCAAGTGTACAAGGAAGAAAAATTATAGAACAGTTCTTCCAGTTGTCCCTAGATTCCACCCTCTCTCCTTTTCTTTCTGGTTCTGCTTCTGCTGCACTTCCTTAGGACCCCTGGGAACATTGCTAAGCAACACTCTATGTGCCATCCTTCCCCTACCTCCAATTGATACTCGCAATTTCTCCATTCCTCCATTTACTCCAGCCCTTCTGATATGCTGCTGCAGAGGGGATTTTATGTAAATCTTCTTCTGAACACTTCGTCTCAATATGCTGCTTAGCTTCTTAGTGCCACTACCTTTCTTCTGTGGTTTGGGACTATGTGGTGTCTGTTCCAAGCAGTCACCTTCACATGCTTCCGTTTCCTTGATGGTTTCAACTTGGGGTGGTGGAACTGGTAGTAATGATGGTGGCAATGAGGCCAAGTTTTGTCCAGTGGGTAATGGAATTAGTGAATTGCGTCTTGGAGTAGAGACCACTGGAATCTTTTGTGCAGTTGGGCACAAGGAGGCTCTCCCAGTCCTTCGCGGTAATAGCAGTTGCTCAGATATCTCAGGTTTGTTTTCTTTGTCTGACATACTGTTGTACTTGAGAAATGTATCAGTTAAAGGAGATGTTTGGGGTTTAATATTGTTGTTCTCTATTAGTGGTTTTATGAGATTTGTTCCATCTTTTCCAAATGCAAAAGATGGAAGCTCATTCACATTCTTCTGGTTGAATGGTCGGGTTGCCAGTAGGGGCTTCACCAAGCCAAGGTGGTGGTCTCCTTGCTGTTGTTGTTGCTGCTCTGCTATTTTAGTATCCACATGTTGTCTCGCCAATCTTCTTTCCACTAAAAGTTGGGATTCCAATTCTTTCACCTGCACAAAGGAGCAGCTTGTGAGAATGCTTTATTGGTATTGTCCCTGCAGGTGGAGAAATTGTGTTTCACTGCAAAGACATGCCATCCTATTTGTCAATCTTGACTGTAGGAATCTTTCAGAGTAGTTACTGAACAGTCATTAAATTCTTGTGCAAAAAAAGTGATTTCAAGGAATACGTTTAATTGGCAGCCTCCCCAATGGGAGGAAAATTATCAAATTAAATTGTAGAAGAGATAACTGTGAAACTAGGTGGGACTTAACTCCATTATAAATAAAAAAATTAAATAATAAAAGGTTCAATAATGAAATATAAATTCTCTACTAGATTTAAGAGCTCTTTTAGAAAATCTACATTTTTACAACATGTGAGCCTCATCTCATATTGCCAAGGCTCTACAAAGAAATTCTGGTCATACCTTTTCTTGCAGACTCTTGTTGTTTAGATCTCTTGTTTTCATCTTCAAGTCCAGACTATGAATGGTCTCCTCCATCTTCTTTATGTACCCTTCTTTGCTCTTCATTTCTTGTTTTGCCTTTTCGACCTAATAAACATAGCAGAACTGTTAAAAATAGTAAAAAAACAGATAAAATGGAGTTAACAGTTAGACTTAGTCCTATGTACATTGCAATACTTTAATGGTTCAATTTCATACCATTTGTTTGTATTTTGAAAGCTCACTGCTGTCTAATTGCTTCTTGGCTGGACCCAATTCTACTCCTCTTACTCTACTTGCAAAGTTAAGTGAGCAGAGAGTCTCACTGAGGTCATTCTCATTAGGACTTATCTGTACAAACATTAGTGTCTTTGAATCTCCTCCTGTAGAATTAATGCCAGATTTAGATGGAATTGAGGAGGGGGAGAAATAACAATAGTAATCAAGTGACAGCAAAGGAGATGGGAAAATGTCTTCCCACCTTTGATGCACAATAACCACTCCGATAAATAAGTTTTTTCACCTTTCTCACACTTTTCATTTACCTGCCCCTTATGCCCTATCTGACTATAAAAAAAAAACAATTTATTTTTCCTTGACCTGCACACCTTTGAAGCCCTTTCTTTCGTGGTAAGGGGTTGCATGGGAGGTTTTTTAGATGCAGACACCATATGGTTGATCCAGGATGGGCAGTGGTTCTTCCTATCCCCCCTTGGTATATAGATGGAAAATGGTATTATCATCCAGCCACCATGTTCTTATTAGTCCTCAAAATAGAATAAAAAATAATACCTAGAGAGTCTTGAAGCAAGTGGGTTAGCTTGGAGTTCCTGCAAAATGTTTAGAAAACAAGTCAACTAAAAATGTCCCATATAAAGAACTATCTGACTTAAAATGCACAAAGAACAATCAGAGGAATGATTAGATGAATCAAACTTCATTTATTTTCAGAACCTGAAAGGTATATGTGGGCTTTTGGTTGCAAGTGCAGATATCACATCTCCAAGTGCGGAAAGAGATCTATTGATGTTTTGAGTCTCCTTTAGGCGGTCTCCTTGAACATCCGCCTTAGCTATTCTTTCACTTCCAGCTAGATCAACAAGCCACAATTTGCTTCTTGTGCATTCTCCATTCATCAGGTTCTCCCCCTTCACCATCACACAATGAATGCTGTAGAGAACCAAACTTTAGACTTTAGTATAATATGCCTAAAATTTATAGTCCACTTCACAGAGTTAACATAAGGATAAGTTGGTAAAATCCCTTTTTTAAAATCAAACAAAAAAAAAGAAGAAATCAAGTGTAAGAAAAACCCCTACTTTCATTTTGTCTGAACAGAAATCATTGAATAATAAATTTTAAAACAAAAACAATAACCACCCAGAAAATTGAAATGCAAACTCCCAAACCCTTAATCTCAAGAGGAAAACATTATTATTGATAATCTCCAAACAATGTTGATCCAATTGGTGAGAAAACTCCTACAGATATTAGTCACTATTAGTGGCACATGCAGATGTTATGGAGAATCTTTGATCAATCACCCTTGCCCAATATATAAACAAATTACCTAATCAATAAGAAAAAATGACTAACTGTATTGCATCAAGCAATTACCCTCCTTAAGGTATAAGCTAATAGAAATAACATGTCTATATTCTATAAGAATTTCCTCTTTCCATGATGTATGAAATTGAGCTTTCACTGCTAAAGAATATTGGGTGAGTGAAAACTGATCTGGCCCATAGAAGAGAATATACCAGTGTGATCGGCTGCTGTGCTCATTTGAATTAGTTGAGCCAACAGCCCGAGCATTGCTGCCTGTCTTTAGAACTTCCCAAACTTCGTTCATGTTGTTTACATTGGCTTCAACAAGTCCTGGAACATGATGGATGCCTTCTGCAACTTGCCTTATTTCAAGCCTACAGTGCCAATAAATGGATACTGCAATTCATGCTTTTGTTGACAATATTTACAATAATTGAAAAGGGAAATTATCTTAAACCTCCCTTGACTTTTACATTCTCTAAATATTCCCCTGACTTTTTTAAATACTTCCAAGGACTCCTTTTTTTGATAAGTAATAGAATTTTATTAATTAATTAATAAAATCTTTTTGCTGATAAAAAAAATAAAGAAGTGCACGAATTCTATCAAAACATAAACAGAAAATGCAAAATTACCATTCTACCAATCCATTGTTTATCCTCGTATAAAAAAGTGCACGAATTCTATCAGACTCAAACCTGTGTTCTCATGCCTTTGCCATTTCAAGATTTTGCCACTATACCTAGTAATGACCCCTCAGTAATGGCTGTTTTGCAGCAAATGACAAAAACAGCACCAAATGATGGATCTGATCAATGTTTAGATCATTGAAACCAGATACACTATTGGTTTGATGTTTAGATTTTGGCATACCTATGGACAGATATTGTGTTTCCTTCAAATAAATCAAACAGTGTGAGTTCCATGACCCTTAAAGATAAATGATCTAGAATATTAGTTCTATTTTGGGAGAGAGAGAGAGAGAGAGAGGGTGGTTGGTCAATATTTTGTCACATTAAAACTAGATGAGATGATGTTATATGGGTTAAGGTCATTCTTCTCGTTTAGAATTATTTCTGGATCAAGTTTCCTACTTCAGTTATGAACCAGACAGAAATAACAGAAAATGCATCTGATTTAGAAAATGTTCTGATGGCAGGTTCCATCGAGGAATGGAGGTATCTAAAAGTTGAGGGAGGTTTTAGATCATTTTCCTACTGAAAACATCTATCTGATGAAAATACCTTAAACAGTAACTCTAAAAGCAAAAGTTTAGATATTTCCTCCTTGTTTTTACCTCTTTGCTGCTATTCCTGGCTGAGGTCCAGGCACAAGCAAATCTCGTATTTGCTCATTATAGACCTCTAAGACACTTACAGAAACTTCATATTGGAATAGTGCCTGCCGATCCTTTATAATGCGAAACAACTCTTCAAGGGTCCTGTAGTTGACTCCACGTGCTTCTTCTGTTCCCTCCATTGTAAATGTTTTCCCAGTTCCTGTCTGACCATAAGCAAATATGCAGACATTGTATCCATCCAAGACTGATGTTGCCAAGGGGGCTGTTTCTTCAAATACATCAGCTACTCATGTAGGCAAAAAAAGGATATTTAGCTTACTTGGATGAGTCAACAGAATTGGGGAAGGGGGCACTGAATAGATCATATGGAATTATAACAATAAACAATAAAAACCTTTTAAGATGCTGCATATCTGAGTGCATGCACCAATAATCAACCAGAGCAAAAAGGGCATGGTAGAGTGAAGGAAACTTGTGGCAAAGATTATAATTTGATTATAGTGACTGTGAAGGAAAAAGGGCTTGGTAGAGTGGGGTTGTGCTTCATAATGTATTATTATGTAAGACATTAGCTCTCATTTGCATGTCTAGTAAAGCTAATGATAATAGTATCACTAGTTCATTACCACCTCTACAGTGGATAACAAAGACATGTCTTTCTACTATGAGATAGCTTCTTTTATCAATTACCTTGTCCTGCTTGTGGGCTGAAGACAGAGTCAAACTTGAAGACCTTCTTGGCTACACCATTCACCTTGACTGTAAGTTCACCATCTTTAGCTGATTCAAAATCAATTGTCATTGATGCTCCTGTAGCAATTTCTTCTGTGCTCAGAGGCCTGCATCTGCAGAAGACTCTTATATTCCCTGCAATAAAAGGAAAGCTTTGAGTTCCTGGGCAATTTAAAGCTAGTCTATGACACTAAAAACACTTCACTAACCTTTTACTTCTAGGACCTTGTTGTAAAGCTCCTTCCGTTCCTTGGTCCCTTCAATGAATTTACACTTCAAATCCCGGTGTTCCCTTTCCAAATCCATGTGTTGACTCACTATGCACAATGCAGGAAGGAGTAAAAAAGAAGCCAAGGAATGATTTGAAAATTTGCAATCTTAGATTAGATGGGATTCAATTTACTTGCAAATTGAACAGTGCTGGTCATTTGGGTCATATCTGCTAGGCACTTTTTATATTCCAATGCTTCCTCTGATAGCTTGATATGCTCTATTTTCAGGATCTGTTAGTTGAATTTCCTCAGTCAGTCTAAAGCCCCATTTGACTCAGAAAACAAACATTCTAGTTGTATGAATAGAACTTCTGGTACCTTAAATTTCTTGGTCAACTCTCTGAGGGCTGAGAACCACCGGCTCTTCTCTTTCACTTGCCCTTCAATAGCAAAAGCTGTAGAGGAAGGAAGATCATCAAGATATTGTGTCAAAGAAACTTAGAGCTGTGCCATCCCATAGGAATTTTCCTACCTAAAGATCCAACATGCATGGACTTGCGCATAAGCTCATTTTGGAGCTCCTGAAGAGACAACCAAGCTTCTTGGCATTCTTTGCTCTTGAGTTCATATTCCCATTTGGACTCCTTCAAAGCTTGTTTTGTATCCATTAGCTCCTTATTTTTCAACTCATAATCCCTTCTCAGCTTCCACATCTCTCCTTGAGCTTCACAGTTACAACTGTTACATTCACCCTGTAGGGTATAGAAAGGGAGGAAAGCAAAGAAATGAAAATTAACACTTTGGTATGCTACTTGAACAATCTTAGAATTGAGAATTACCTCCAGTAGTTTACACTCTTCCGTTGGAAAAACTTCTTTATCTTTGAGAAACTCTGCATTTCTGAAGCCTATTACAGCAGTTGCAATTTAGGTATTGTTAGAAATTGAGAAGATTTGCATTTCTTGTCATTTTCTGAAACCTCAGATATCTGAAGCTTACTAAATTCCAACTTACCTGCCAAAGGATCTTTCCTTATTGAAATGCCGCACACAGTTGCACTTCCTATTACTCCTTCAAATCTAATAGATAAACCCTCTTTGCCACTAACAAAAGCTTTAAGATCAGATACAACCAGAGGCTTACATGCACCCACCTGAGCATAAATGTCTATAAAAGAGAGAACCTGCAAGAGAATGGGACAAACGTGATCAGTAACTACTTTCTAGACCATGTGACTATACATTGAAGAACATTCTCACCTTCTCTTCCTGTATAAAGACATCGAATATTCTCATCCCTGGTGGGCCATCTGTGAATATGATCTCTGCAAAATGCAGGTCGACAAGATAATTCCCAACATCCAGCATTTGAAAGTTGTACGAGAAGTTCCCAAATCGAGCAGTTTGGTACAGTGAAAGAAATTCATCGTCTTCTGCGATTTTCCTTTCTGTTCTAATAACATCTCCGCCTGTGAAAAAACTGTCCTCTAGGAAGTCAACCCCAGCAGAAGTAACAGTCTGGTCTATTCCTCCTGCATTTATGCTTAGCACCGGAATGGAACTGTTGTCTTGGGCTGTGGATGACACTGGAAGCTCGAGGGAAGCTTCAGCAAGCACGTCTCCTTCTGAGGTTTGCACCTCTGGAAATAAATCTGACATTGTAGCTTGGTTCTCTTGAACCCCCTCAGTTTCTGACCCATTAATGCCATCTCCTAGAGAGAGCTCCATGGAGGTTCTCATATTCCTCCGGTTTGCATTCTTTAGGTGTTCTGGTGTGTCATCAAACACGTCTCCTACTGAGGTTTGCACCTCTGGAAACAAAGCTGACGTTGTAGCTTGGTTCCCTTGAACCCCCTTAGTTTCAGACCCGTGAATACCTTCCTCAAGAGAAAGTTCAATGAAGGCTCTAGTATTCCCCCGGCCTGCGGTTTTTAGGTGTTTTGGTGTCTCATTGAATCCAACGTTGCTGGGTATATCTGGCGAGCCAGCACAGATAACCAAATCCGGAGATGTCAGTGAAAATCCCAACAGTGAGCGACCTGGAAAACAAAGATCCAAATAAACAAATCTTCAGAAAGAAAACCCAGATAGAAATATTAAGCTCTGATCGTTTCTCGCAGGAAAGACCGGAAAGATCACTTGTTTTTATTCTTCCTTTACCGTCAATAGCTTCAAAAGGATGCCTGTCGCTGGAAATTCCAGTCTCAAGTGTTTCTGAGTTTTGTTTTTCCCAATAAACATCTGCTCAGAGAAGTTCAAGACCATATCAAAGATAAAACTTAAGCAAAAAATTCGTTGGTTCCAAGAATTCTTGTAATAAGAAGTGTTTTAGAACCAGATCATTAGAAAGAAAAGATCATGGAAAAGAATAGAAACCCAAGACATTACCGTCGATCATGTTAAGACAGAAGCCATCATGATCTGCCATTTCTGTAGCTTCAAAGCTCCTCCGTTCTAGCCGTGAAGCGGCTGCCCAGTAAAGCAAGTCAGACAAACAAAGAACCCACAAGGCAAATAGATAATTTTAGCCATACGAAATGAGACTGAAGAAGAAACCGAAGATATCTTACAGTCAGAACTCTGCTTTTGCCAAGAAACATCTGTGAGTAGAACAGGGTCCTTCCATAGATCTTCCATTGATAAAGAGAGCAATCACTAAAGGCGATTATTTGACTGAACAAAAAAAAAAGGGAAAAGGAAAGCTTTTGAATCTTTTAGCGGGGGGGGAGAGAGAGAGAGAGAGAGAGATGAGAACTGAGGAGAAAGTTTCCTTTGAAATGCCGTTAATTTCGTTCGGAAACAATTCATTCAGCCGTTATGTTGGTGGACTGGAACGTTGGGTTTTGAAATTTGAATTGTCCCAAGTTCCCAACCCGGCCCATTTGATTAAATTTTAAAAAAGCTTAAAAAAGAGTCTGGCTTGGTTCCAGCACCTCTGGGCTTCACTCTCAAAATTGTCCTGCCATGGAGGGAAGTGGGAATGAAACCTTCACCCTGATCTTGTGACCACCCTATCTATCTCTCTGTCCATGTTTCGAATTTTAAAATCAAACCCCCTTTTGTTTGGAGTGGATTTTTAAATTTTCATGTATTTCATAAATGAAAGCAAAAACTAGGGTCTAGGGTCTAGTTCCACAACTTGCCACGTGTGAAGCAATAGGCCTAATCCAGTACCAACATTTTCAATGGGTCCCACAAAAGATAACTTAACCATCATAAGATCTAGGGATGTGGGATATAAGATCTATAGGAAAGGTCAACAGCCATGGATGGGTGTTTTCTAATGTGGGATATGAGATATGGTGGCTTCCTGAAATATAGACGTGGCAACTTAGACTAAAATAAGGCTCAATATTGTGAACAAATTAGAGCCGGTGGGGTGGGGGCCCAAAATGAAAGTTTATTTATTGTAGCAGCTGCATCTTTGTTACAAGTTGTTCTACTAGGGTTTGTGTGGTGCCTTCGAAGTCATCCTAGCTCTCTCGTCTCTTCAATGAAAAACTATTAACAATAATATTAATATATTAGTGGGGATTTATCAAGGGAAAGTGAAATAACTAAAAACTTATAAAGAAGGAATGCATTAAAATAATTAAACCTTTATTTTAATAATTTGTTAAAAAATGATTTTATTAATTTTGTAACTTAGTAATTTGGATTAATTATATTAATGTTTTTAACAAAAGTAACAAATTATTGCTAATTACTTAATAAAATAATTATTTTTTTTATATTTTTTGTTCATGTTATGTTTTAGTTATTTTACTTTATTAATGATTAAATGTTACATTTTTTTTGTAAATTTCATTTAAATATTTAAAAATACTTAAATATTAATAAATATATAAAATTAAGCTATAGTCATAATTAAATTAATCTAAGCTCAAACTCGGGTTTAAGATTTTGGATTAGTTTTTATTATTAATTTTAATTATCCTATCAATACTATTTTTTATTAATTTCTTAATTTTTAATAGCTTCTAGATAAAACTTGCTAAAATTTAATGTTTTTTATTAACTTTAGTAATTTTTTATTAATTTTATATCTCTACTACCTGCATTATCTGTGGGCTTGGTTTAGACTTGAGCTAGACCTAGCTTAGAAGAAAATAGTTGTTGAAGCTGAGAAATGATCATCTCTAGGTAGAACGAGTCTTATGACATTTCTAATTGGGTCATTATTAGTTTTATTGTTTTAATTAATTTTTATAATTTTTATATGGAACCAAATGGTTTGTTTTATTCTTTTTCATATTTTTTACTTTTTATTATTAATTTTAACTATCCTGTTAATGTTAATATCTTTAAATAAAATAAAATTATATTTTATTTTTTTAATTTATGAACTACTAATTTTTATTAGTTTTAGTAATTTTTTATTAATTATAGTTATTAGGATTCAAATTTGATTATTATTATTATTATTATTATTATTATTATTATTATTATTATTATTATTATTATTATTATGTGTTAAAATATTTGTATTGTGCATCAGATTACGAGTTTCTAGATGAACCAGAACCATTTTCAAAATGGGTCAACACAAACTAGTTTAGCTTGTCTTTTTTGCTCGAGTGATAAAACAAGTTTTACGATTTGAATTTTCATTATTTTTTATTTTTGTATCATTTTAATGGGTCCCCTATTTTATATAAGTCCCTTATGTAGCATGTGCACTATGCACAATAAAGGTCTCAATTCTCAACTCATAAAGATTATTAATTTTAGCAATATTGCTAATTAATTAAAAATGCATTAATACAAAGTTATCAAAAAAAATAAAAAGAATAAATAAAACAAAATGCAACATTAGACCACGGGTTCTATGTGCAACATATCGAACCCATGTTTAAATCATATTATTATTAAAACTATCAATTAATATTTTTTGTATTTAATTTTCTTATTTTTAAATTAATAATTGTTTAAAATAATATTTTTATTTTTGGAGTATGTGCATTATGCATAGTAAATGTCTCAACTCGTAAAAATTATTAATTAATTTAAAATGCATTAATACACAAAATTATCTAATAAAATAAAAATAATAAACAAAACAAAATACAACATTAGAACATGGGTTCTATGTGCAGTATATCAAAACCATGTTTAAATCATAATATTATTAAAACTATCAATTAATTTTTTTGTAGTTAAACTTCTTATTTTTATTAGTGTTTATTAAGTTTGATTTTTAAGTGGAAGTTTTGTTCCAAAGATAAATGTAATTTAACTTTTACTAAGTTTTGTTAATGGTTATTATTTTTAAGTGAAAGTTTATTGGATTTTTAAATTAATAATTTTTTATTGTTTTATGTTTTATTGTTTAACCTCAACCTATTTAGATTATTTAATTTATTAATATTTTACTTTATTATGTTGTATTACTATTCTCACTCTCATTCTCTTTATTTCTCTCTCTCTCTAATAGTGTACAACTTTATTGATCCAATCAAAATTGGTAATGATTACTTTTTTTAGCAGGGACCTATGCAATGTATGAGATTTGTTAAAGAAAAAAAAAAGAAAAAAAAGAAACAACAGAAACCAATAACTATTATAAGGAAGGAATGCAATACTGTTTAAATTAATTATTTTTAATATTAGTAATTTGCTATAAAAATAATCTAGTAATTTAGTAATTTGGCTAATTATATTAATAACTTTTAATAAAAACAATAAATTATTGCTAAGTACTTCATAAAATAATTATTTTTCCATATTATCGGTTAGTGTTCTATTTTATTTAATTTACTTTATAAATGATTAAATATTACATTCATTTTGTAAATATTACTTAAATATTAGTAAATATATAAAATTAGGTTGCAGTCATAATTATATTAATCCAAGCCTAAGCTCGAGGTTTAGTACTTCGGGTTTGGCTTTGCTTGATCCTTAACCTAACCGAACCCTCCAAGTTGCATCCCTAAGAGTAATGTGGCATTCGTAATTAAACTGAACTAAAGCGAGTATAACCCGTTTATACATTATTTTTGGGTTTTTAATTATTCTTTGATAAAATTTATTAAAGTGAAGCCAAAGGAGCTAAGGGAATGGGCTACCCCCATTGTGTAGCCTAATTATCCAAAAAATAAAAGATCTTAGGACAAATTTTGATAGTGTATTAATAGTTTTTAAGATTGCTTGGCTTAGCACAACACATCCTAAGCGTAATTGTATTTGTTTGGGCATGGAACTAAGGTTTGCTCGTGTTAATTATAATACTATGATTTGTTTACAAATTATTTTTTTTTTATTTAGTTTTAGTTTTGATGGTGCGTGATCTGGTGCTCCCTGCTGGTAGATAGCTTAGGCGTCGGGCTGATGAGATCGCTTGGTCGAGTTGCAAGAAGAGATAGAGTGCTTAGAGAGCTAAATCGCACGTACCTTTTTTAAGGAAGAGGACACCTTTATATAGAATAATTGCCGTGAGCTCCATGAAACGCATCCGAGATCTCCAACCCGTCTGATTTGGAGGTGGCTCCACACCTGGAGACAGATTCCATGTAAGCTGATAATGCTTATCTAGTCTCATCCGAAGCGGGTAGGACCAAGATTAGCTCCATTAACGTGTCATCATGATCCCGGGAGAATTAGAGACAACAACCTACTCAAGAAGGAAGTCACCCGCCACATCGGGTAGGTCGCTAATTGGATCCGGACTAGGTTGGCAGAGGCAGGTCGCCTCTTCACGTCAACCTAACATCTCCCGAGCTATTTGTAGGTCATCCTACCGAGGTGGGGCCGAGGAAGTTGAAACAGATGCTAGGTGTTCGAGTTCTGCTTATGTGGTGTTGAGATGCCAATAGATAGTTATGTAGTGGCACGTGTCGTGATATCATTAGAGGACCAAATCACCCCTCATCAATTGCCCCCCACTCCTGAGTCCGACGTGATCAACTCGGTAAGGGAGTAGTATTAACCCGAGGTGATTTGGCTCGAGTTCTAGCTTCGACTGTGGTCAGGCCAACAACTCAGGATCCGATTGGCTCAACTGGTCTAGCTCATCCAGGAGGTCGTGTTCCAGGAATGGGCGGACGCCATGCAATTGTTAAGTCCCATGGACGTAAAAAATGCACTAAAATAATTTTTCCTTAGAATATGAACCATCGCATCTTCGAGGACCACTAGATCCAACCGATCTCGACCATCTCATCCTTCTATCAACCACCTAAGAGTAAGTCCAAGTTTGTTCCTACCAAGCTAACTGTCGATGATGTTTACGTGCTCATGGCTCAATATAGGATCCCAAACCAGTTTGGTTATTCCCTCCCCCTTGTGCAGTACCCTTGGGAACATGATGAGGATGTGATCTTTGAGGAGGCCCTAGGGGTGGGTCTTCGGTTTCCTCTTCACCCACTTATTCCCGAGGTGCTAAACTACTACAACATCGGTTTAGGTTAGTTTCACCCCAATTCTATTAGGACCCTGGTCGGTACCATCTTGTTCTGTCACCATGTTAACTTCCCTTTAGATGTCAAGACATTCACCGACATATGCCTATTGAAGAGAAATTCCTCCAAGATGTATAGCTACTACCTATCCTACCGCTTTGGGTGTAAGCTGCATAATGGCTTCCCCTCCAAAGTAGCAGATTGGAAGAGGAAGTATTTCTTCTTTGACTGAAGTGGCGGATGGTTGTTCCCAATGACCTGGAAAGAGGGGACTAGGGATACTGGGGAGGATACACTGGGTGAGCAGATGCAGATAAGGGTGCTGGTTTTGTGGAGAGGAGGTCAAAGCTAAGTGAGTTCTTGGTCAAGGAGAAACTGATGTAGGTCAGGCTAAGTCCTTCGTGTAGGTCATCGTTCTAGACTTTGGTATTTTCCTTTCCCTTTTCTGATTTGACTCATTTTTTGACTTGTCATGCAGGAAACATGTCAGGTGTTCCCACTTTCGGGCTGTTCTAGGCCATGAAGAGGAAGAAGAGGAATGTGACT